TGTCTGTGACCTGAGTCCACTTCACTCCATTGTTTCCACACTGACACTGTCTGTGACCTGAGTGCTCTGACCAATGAGTCACTATCCTCATTGACTTTGTCTACAGGACTTGCAGTTTGTGTTTTATAACACAGAGACCTTAAAGTTCCCTATACCCCTCAGTCTTATTTATTGTACAATATGATATGTTTCAGAAATAAAATTATTAATTGATGTAGAATTCTGAACGTAACATTTCTGATGGGAAGAAATTTGTATACATTTTCTTAAAGTTTTGTTTTTAAAAATAAACTTTTTTAAAACCATGTTGTCATTCATTTGTAATTTCTTAATTTTGTACAATTAAAATACTATTAATAAAATATATAAGGAGCCTTTGGCCACTCACAATGAGAAAATCAACCCCAGAAGGAGAGAATGCCTGAATGTTTGTGATCAATTCATAAGTATGACTTAATCCACACAAGGAACAACACCACCAAAGAGACAACCTGGCTGTTATTTACATTTCCCTTGTCCTGCCGTCAGGAGCTGCTTAATGTAAAACACAGCATCCCACAGCACTAGAGACACCCCAATATTCACTTTATACTGCACCTCAAACCATAGGTATTTTATAGCACCCAGACTGACCAGTACAGAGCACTAAATAGTTACAGAGGGCATCTGGATACAAATAAAAAGAACTCAGGAAAGATAAAAGTTGGCTAAAACACAACACACCTTGAGAACTGTGACATCATTTATTTTACAAAACTTATGATCCTGAAGGATCAGATATTTTTAAACTCTCCTCCCAAACTGATGTCAGTATTGTATGGGACTGTGGGAAGAATCAGGGTAACCTGGAGAGATAATAGAAACACAGACAGAAACCGAGGTGGGCATTTAAACCCACAGCCACAGCACTATGGAGCAACAATGCTAACCTCTGTGTCGCCCCTTTTAGAGTTAATATGGCGTTTCCAAAATAGTAAAAGATTGTGAAATGCAAAGCTCTATATACTTTCACTCCAGATATTTAAGAATCTTTTAACTTTTCTTCTGCTGCAAATGCAAGACTTCTGCTTTTTTCATTTTAATTTGTAAGGAATAACAAATTTAAAACAGTTGCTACATCGGACTGTTCGATGTTCAGGAGGGTTATCTGTCCAGGAATGGCACATGTTACATAGTGTCTACCTTATTGGGTGCCAACATTATTACTTGTTTGCTCAGGTGGACTGATTCTTTGCAGTAGTTTATCCTTATACTTACAATCGTTATATAACTAGGACTGTAGTTACAGAAGTTTGTGTTTCTGTTGGTTTTACAACTATTTTCAGAACCTCTTTAACTTCGATGTAGTTGCAAAAATGAACACGTATGATATTTTGTCTCTCCAGGCAATAATAATCACTAGAGTGTTGATAAATGTGAAACTGTACTTCATCGCTAAATACCAGATTGCTCGTCATTATCTTCTGTCATGAAACACTAATCACTGGCATGCTTGCGAGAAATCGCTTGGGTAGTTGTAACGGGTCCGTTTCAACCCAAATATCTCCGCCCCGCTCAGAATTTCAGACACCTCCCCTACAGAGCTTTCCCCAGGCGCCAGCCCTGGGTATAATGGTGAACATAGCTGCCTTCCAAGCAGTGAATCCGTGTGCAATTCTCACCTGACCTATCGACAAACCTTTTCCAATGAGTCTTTGATCGATTTAAAAAAACCTCTTGAAGCGGGTAGCCTAAGGAAGAAGTGCTGTTTGAGTGCACTGAGAAAATGTGCTCGGGTGTTGAGTAGCACAATTTGTCAATTTATGGTAATTATACAACAGTGCACAGTGGAGTCATACCATGGTTGTAAGTTCGAGTCTTGCCTGGAGTAATATTGGCTGTGTTTTTGTCTTCCAAAAGTTGCTGTTGCGTTTAGGTCAGTTCTTGTGTTACTTTTTGCACTCGACGGAGCTGTATTAATTCAGGCACACTTGCTTCCATGGCAAGTTATTTTATCGTTGCTCACAAACCAACATACTGCAGGCACCTCTGAAACTGTCAATGCTTGTGGGCCACGTGTTCCTGCTGTCAGCCTACTATACCAAGTTCTTGCACGTCTACAAACATTACCAATTCCAGTACAGGAGCGAAAGACAAACCGAGAGCTCACTCACTTTAAAAAAGCACATTTGTCGAAACCCGAAGTTGACTAGGATGGGATAGGAACCCACGTGTACAGAGTACAATACATTCGCATTCCATTGATTTAAGTACTCGACCACAGTCAGTCTGTCCAGGTATAAGTTGCCTCACGATGATCATCTTTCCCCGTACTCAAGGGTCATTTTCTTCTTCCATCTGCGATGTCATGCTACCGTGGACACCCTGAAGAACATCAAAAGCATATTGAGCTCCTTGGTCATGAAATCGCCAGATAAAAGCCATTTCACATCCTTTCTTAACTAGCTCGATGAGCAGGCTCAGTGCACACTGAACGCAGGTGTCTCAGAGCAGGGTGTCCAAGTGGCTGCAAAAGGGCTTTTTTCTGCTAGTGCTGTGGTTTAGTTGGTTAAATCAGCTGCCTAGTAAACAGGAAATCCTGAGTTCAAATCCCAGCAGTGCTTTTCTTCCTGTCTTGCGGTACAGTTTATAGTTATAGACAGCACCATGCTTCTGCATTATGTTTAACGGAAGTGTTCATTTCGTTTTTGGCACAACTTGTTATTCAAGAAATCCACACATTGCGAAAGATAAAACACAGAAGAATTACTGACAGCTGGCAAGAAAATGATAATGTTTTTTTGTCTTTAGCCAAAAACCTGTGAATGTAGAAAAGAGACAATGTGTGTCAGTTTCTCTAGCACAATCAATCAGGGTGTCCTTCAGTGTATTATTACAGGTAATGCATGCACAGACTTCAATATGTGATAGTGAATTATCAGGTATCCTAGAGAGGGAAGAGAACATATATTAAAGAAATACATATTTAAAGGGGGTGTAAGTCTTACATGTGTTCTGCCACATCTGGGTGTTAACTCAATAGATTTGTAGTATTATTTATTCTTAGTCAAACATACGCCGTAAGCATATGCATTATCCATTGCACCACTGGACCTCATATCAGCTTCCCCAACTGCACACGCTGAGCTCAGAGCTGTTTCTAGTAATATATCGCCCTGGTCCACATTTTCTCAATTAGATTCACGTGTTTTGTACTAAATACCACAAAGTTACAATATATGGAATAGCATTTATTTTAAAATATATTTTAAAATTTCTATTTATTTAGAGCTAAGGAAAGGAAAGATAAGGAAAGATAACATTGCTAATATTGATGGAGTAGAAATGTAAGATGAATTGATAGCTTTATCTGATCTAAAAAAGTCCTAAAATGCCTCCTGTAACAGGTAAGGACTCATAGCAAGACTTTTGTTTCCAAATCCAAACGTTGCTATGGCATTGCGCATTATGTAAACATGACCAGTTCCGGTTTCTGGTGAGTGCATTTTTTCCAAACTCAAATTAACAAGAACATTTTTCAATATGCACCATGTCCCATGGACTACTATTAATATCAGGTGAAAGCAGTACAAAACATAAATGTATTAATAACATAAATATTAAAAGACTATTGGCTGTCAGCCATGTTCAGCCAACCATAGAAATATTACTGCTCTACTACAGTAACAAAAGAACACAAACACAACTTAGAAACAGAACACAAGTCAAATGCTCAAACCAACAAGGGTGGGATTCAAACCCACGTGTGCAGAGCACAATGGATTAGTAGTCTATCACCTTAACCACTCAGCCACCTTGTCGAAAAAGTCAGCTCTTCCAGACATTTTTCTCTTCCACTTGCCACTATTTTCCTTGGGAGATGTCAAGCCACCAAGTGTGTGCTGTGCTTCAGTGACAGGTGTAGAGGACATCCTGTTGTACACGGAAAGCACATTATTTCCTTGGAGTGGCAGATAAAAGCCATTTCTAATCCTTTCTCTTAATCTCCGGGGCTGCTAGTGCATGAAAAGGAGGCAACTTGCTCGGTGAGCAGGCTCAGCGCACACTCCACGTGTGCGAAGGGGATTTAAATATTGAAAGGAAAGGGGTGTGATTGGATGATTGGTTAGGGAGTGAGAAATATGAGGAATCTGATGCATGTGAGAATGTGATGGGTTCAATCAGGGATGAGATTGTGAAGCAGAGGTTCCGGGAATGTAACGTTGTTTGCGAAGGAGAGTGTGGAATGTGACAGGGACAGAACGGCGTTTCCGAGTTAGAGTGTGGGGCGTGACAGTACCCCCCCCTTTAGGGTCGGCTCCTGACGACCCCAGAGAGTGAGTACGAACGAAGTCATCGATGAGGCTGCGATCCAAAATATCTTTCTCACAGACCCAGGAACGTTCCTCAGGATCATAGCCCTGCCAGTCGACTAGAAATTGTCGGCGGCCTCGGAGCCAGCGGGCATCCAAGATCTTATTGACCGTGTAGGAAGGAAGACCGTCAATGAGTATTGGTGGGGGCGGAGGTGGCCGAGGCCGGGAGAGGGGGAATCTGTGGTAGGGTTTCAGGAGAGAGACATGGAAGGAGGGGTGCACCCTGAGAGTTGGAGGAAGAGCAAGACGATA